CAAGTGATGTTGATATAAGACTGGAATCACTCCAACTTATGAACACTCAATGATCAAGAGACTCCAAGCTTAATCTCGCGGAAGGTGGAATGTACTCGATGTGGAGGTGAATGATAGAGATTGAATCGCTCAATCAGTGGACGAATGAAGGATGTTGAATCACTCAACAAGCTTAATCCACTGGTTTTCAATAGAATTAAGTGAATAACACACTTAAGAACTAAAGAACAAACAACACAAAGAAAACTCGAACTTTGTGAAAGAAAACGATTTCTATTACTTTAACCCTTACAATGAACACGAACTGAGCTTATATATGCTCAAAAACAATGCTAACATAACGTTCTAAAACTTCAAATAAACTAAAGAGATGGTGCTTTGATGATATAGCCGTTGGAGGCTTTAATGCTTGGCCAAACAAGGAAAATTTAAGAGAGCCTTGTATCTTGATAATATCTTGATATAACCGTGTATGCTTGGTCTTCTAGAAATCTCTTGGAGTTGCAAAAAGTCAGAAAGTAGCCATTGGAGATTGATTGTCACGGTAATCTAATGACCGCTATTCTATTAATGTTCATGGATCATGCCCGAACTCATGACCAAATTGAAAACAAAAAGTAAATTTTTTTTTTGAAGATAAATCCTACCCGACCTAAACTTCCTTATGCTTATAAATGCTTGCTTTTAACCAATGTTCAAGAAAACGCTAGGCGCTAAGCGGGCGGTCACCTAATGCCTAGTGCCTAGAACGCCTAATCGGAGCCTAGGCGATTTAATAGGCAGTCTAAGCATTTTATAAAAATACATAATATATTAGATATATATAATAAAATATATAAAAAACCATAAGTTATAACTAATAAAATTTATATTGTATTTATGCTCATCATTTTATAGCCAAATATATAAAATTTTACGATTTATATATAATAAATTTAATATTATTTTATTATTATAATATCATAATATTTTAGGCGGTAAAAGCGGTAATCGCCACGGTCTATAGAGGCCTGGCGCCTAAGCGCCGTCTGAACGAACGCCTAGAACGCTTTTTAGAACACTGCTTTTAACTATACAAAAAATCCAACATTTATCTCAGTCACCTAATCTGTCAAAAATGATGTATTGTAAAGTAAACATCTCAATCTCCTAAATCGTATAAATTTATGTAGTAGAAATCTAACATTCATCTTCTTGTTGACCTACGATGTTGTTTCCCACCAATGTGATTTTCTTAGTGTTGAATCTTTTTTCTGTGGAACTACGATTTTGGCAATGTGATTTCTTGAGTGTTGAATCCTCTTTTCTGTGTAGGGAGAATGGTCTCAACTAACATAATTTTTCATGGGTTCTTAGATTTTTTCACTTGGCAATCTTTTTCATCCCACGTGAGCTATATTGATCAATGAATTAATACCTAAACGTATTAAATAGGCAAACGCACAAAAAGAGTAGAGATATTTACATGAATGTGTTTCCAAGCAGACAAGGACAAGTCACGTATGCTAGTGATTATACCATCATGTCAAACCTTCTTTAACGGGTCCTTCGCCAAACCAGGCTTTCTTACCCTCATCCCAGGAACCCAATTATCACTCTTCGAACTTTCTTTGAGTAGTGTATCAAGTGTGAACCGCAAACACAAGGGTAATAAGCAACCTGAAATTCACGATTTTGAAGAGCATTCGTAAAGCCTCACCGATCACTTCCATTGAACATAAATATTTCTCAGTTCGTTAAATTATATCTTCGGCAGAAATCAGGGTCCGGTCCTTTAAATATAATTTATCAAATCGACCCTAAATTTTGGTACTTTATTTCTCATAGGTGTTAGGGGGGTAGGAACACATGCATATATATGAAGGTATAATACGTAATATGGAACTCTAAGTTTATCAATCGTGTAGATTCATGTATCCACGAATGAGAGGGTCAAAGTTTTCTGAATTCTCAAATCCTGCAAGTTACTCCCGGTGGAAGAGTTCTTTTCCACTATCTTCCATCTCGTTGAGCATGGTCGTATCTTCTTCCCTCTCATGGAGAGTGGTCGAACCCCTGTGCTTTATGCCGGGAACTTCAAAGTCACATGGTAAAGTGACTAACCTGAGAATCTCCGGCTTTGCCGCGAAGACCCTCTTGACGCATCTGAGGCATGCTTTGGATTCGGTGTCTATCTTTTGCGATGATCTATCTACTTTATGCTTTATTGCTTCTCAATTATCTTGTATTAATTATGGAGGACATTTAATTCCCTCCTGTTGTATTTGGAACGGTTAAATGAATGAAGTAATTTTGTTGACAAAAAAAAAAAAATGGAACTCTAAGTTATGTGATATGCTTTCTAAATTAAGTATGTGATAAATTCACTTAGGGAAGTAGCCCTTCCTAAATACATTGTGATATTTGATAGGGTAACCAAAAAAAATTAATAATTAAGCAAGTAATTAAAATGATCTAATGTGGCCAAATAATATCCTTTAGATTTAGGGTATTTTGTTAGATTTTAAGATATAGTTTTTTGTTTTTGTGTTATTCATGCCAATTTCCCTGTTTGATATTATATTTGGTTGGATGAACATTGGCATTCAAGTTAAAATAGGGTCAACAACTCTCGGTCACCTAGTATTCATTATACCGAAATCGAAAATTTAACTTTTGTTTCCAACATAATTGGCGATTCTGGTCCCATTTTTTCTGATTTCTAAACTAGGTTTCAAACTACATAATCACAATTAAGAATATGTATAATGGGTAGAAGTTTATATATAGTAGTAAGCAATTTTCTCACAAGCTGCATTCATAAAAGTCTCATTCTTTCTTTTTATTTTTATTTTTCCACAAATGAAAAGAAAATTATTGAACTAAAAGGTTTTCCTCGGCTCCTTCTCCAGTAAGCAAATTTGTATACCTTTTGATTCTTTACAAAACAAAATGTTCATTTACTAATTACATCTCCTAAAAGAGTTGTAAATTCGCATCCCACATAGCTTTATTACCTTCACCACACATTGCATGAACCATCCACATTCTATCAACTGAATTGCATATCCCACTGCACTTCCAGTCAAATGATGCCACACAAACTTCTCCAACCTCTGCCTTTATTTCACAGTCTTTTGGAAAAAGAGAGAGTAACAACATGAGAAAAGCTCAAATAGTTCTTTACTAATTTTTGAGGCATACTAAAATATATAGAGCTTTTACCTGGAGGAGTACTACAACAGAAATTGCGATCATCGATTTGCTCAACCTCAAGACCAATGAACCATGATCCGAGTGTCACATCTTCATTTGCATACTTGTGCAAAATTGGCCTGTAAAGTAAAACATCAAATGGTTATGGTTGGATAATAATGTAAAACATATTTTTACTTTATTGAGAATACAAGAAACACATAGTTAGTTACTTACTGGTTAATCGCTATGTATGTGGCAAGATCCTTTGAGATGGCATAAATTTGTCCAGTAGCATGTCGAAAATATTTGTTACCTTCTTCTCCAAATTTCCAATACTCGGGTTCGCGATATTTGGCTGTCCTGCACGTTTTGAGAAAATTTGGTTTAAAATCGGAATCAATAAAACCGATAATCGAGAAAAACTGAGATAACAACACACATTGGGGTTATTACTTTTTAGTAAGAACTGGCCCGGATTTCATACATCCAATGTAGACCCTTGGCTTAGAGCGGTGACTGGCTAATGTGGAAGCAAGAGTACCTGAAAAGGCAAAGAGATTATATTCAACAGTTTAATTCAAGGAGAAAGACAAAAAAAAATGCAAGAAACAAATTTTGGTACCAAGATTGACATGAACATCATCATCAATCTTGACATAGAATTCAGCATCCCATTTTGCAACTGCGCTAGAAAAGAAGATTTTGGTTTTTGCAGATAATTTGTAATATCCTTCGACATGATCCTGCAACGAGTAACGAATAAAAATCAAGAAAAAACCGTAAAACAAATCCTTGAAGAATCAAGTGGTTTAATATTCGGTCTCACCAGCCTAAAGAAATCTTTGTATTGAGCATCTTCTGCATCAATTTCCTTATCCAATATACTATTCGGCGCCGCGCTGCAAACACATTTTTGTAT